CTGTCACAGATCGAACAGCTAGCTGATCTCTTCATCTGAGCTGAGAAAAGAATGTATTTGTATGTATATGCAGAAAGTAGTGAAATACAGCTAAATATTGCAATTATGGGCATTGGCAGCATGTAGCCATTTTGAAAGGAAGACTGCATATGGGACCACAGGGAAGTTCTGTTCCCTCTCATTGAAAATCCCTTGTCTTAGAATCACTCAAAACCTTATTAATGTTCTAGTAATTTCTTCTTAGAAGAAATATTTTGTCATACTTGTAGCAACATTTTTTTTGTGCAGGGAGAAATTATACTTGAGTTGGGAATTTGAAATAAAATCCCTGCAAAAAGCAATGAACACATGAATGGACATGAATCTAGTATTTGCATACAGGTGTAGTATTAAAAGAAAATAAGCTCACCACTCAGGAATTCCTGTCTTAGCCAAATTAACCAGGATCAGCAAAATAAATGCGCAGCTGGAAATGCTTCTCTGACAGCTGCACGCAACATGCTCTTCAGCAACATATCCACTTTTCTTAGAGTATGTGAAAAATCTAGGGAAGAGAGAAGAAATCAGTTGTATACACCAGCTTTAATTGAACAGATATTATTTGCCAATTAAGGAGTTTACAGAGAGCTGCAAGTGGGACTTGAACTGGATTTCCCAGCATCCCCAGGTGACTGTTCTGCCAGTTGGGAAGCTCTGCAAGCACTGAAGTATTTTTCACTTGCAATTTTTTACAGAATACTTATTGGCTCTTCTTGTCAGTCAGAGGAAAAGCCTTCCAAACTAGTGCACACTCTCCAGTTAGATATTGGCCAGACATTTTGCATGATGGGAATGGTTTGTGAGCCTTCATGGAGTTGCTTCTTAAAATACTGGCTAAATTATTTACCAATAGCTTCTGCATGTTCTCATGCAAAATAGTTTTACTCCTATTTTGAAGGAGGTGCAAAAATGTAAAGCGAACTTTATCCATCTTTGTTTTACTTATCTTTTACTCATCTTCAAAGAATTGTGCAGTGCTTTACCATGGAAATTTATCCTTTCAAATAAACAAATTTAGGGTGGAGTATAACACTTGCTGCCCGGAATCAAGCTGTCAGAACACCTTGAACATCATGTGCCAGAAAGATTTCAATGTTTGATTCTTCAGAAAACATCCTTCTTCTCTATCTGATACCTGCCTCGCTGGGCAGTAGATGGGTGGCAAGCAAAATCCTCCCTGGACACCAACAATCAGCCTGGAATTATAGTTAGTTTTTTCAAGGTATCTCTTTGTTGTAAAATAACTCTGAGTATATCCAACTCTTTGCCTAGAACAGATCCTTGGTCCCTTTTTGTCTGCTCTACGTTGAGGCTGAGCAGCTGTAAACAGCCAAAGAAATCCCTAGATGGCACAGCACCTTCATGTCTGTAAGCATTCCTGGGGCACAGGCAGAGAGACCTACTGTCCCTGGCTGTCAAAACAGCCCTTTGAGCTGTGGGCGGGCAGTCATTACCTGAAGCCACAGTGGGACACCTCTGAATTGGGGCAGGAGCCTGTCCTAGACCTGGCATGGCCCTAGGAGCAAACAGATGCAGAGCGCCTTAGCATCACTTCTACCCGCGTGGTGCCAGACATCTCTCTGTCCAAGCTGATGATCCCTTCAGTATGTTTGGCCATGATATTTTTTTCTTCTTTTGCTACCCAATAGCAGCAAAATTCTTCCTAAATATCCCTCCTTTCAAATTTTGGTGAAGGTTCCTGTGCTTTGAAATTAAACGACATAAAAGGGAGATCCTGCTAAATATGTGTCATCTTTATTTTAAATGTTTCCCCGTCCTTCCCTAAATCTCCCCCAATCCTGGTGCCAGAATTTTAGCTGTGACACATGAGATGTATCACACTTCCAGCTGCACCAGTATGCCAAGAAAGGTGTCTAGGGAGTAGGAGTGTCCTAACTATCTTCCACATGAACCGTTCACCATGTAACCTTCTCTTGAACTCCCGCCCTGGCCTTTTGCTTGCTAAGTAGCTTGCAGTCAACACCTGGGGTCTCTGTGCTTCTAGTGCCTTTAAATGAGCTCATATCCTCAACCCAAGAGCGTTTCTTGTTTCCTTCATGCAGTATGATAGCTTTTGCATCCCACGGTTCCAAATTCTCCAAGCATCTCCTCAGCATCAGCAGATGGAAGGACAGCGATTTTCACAGAGACTCTTGGAAAAGCAGAACAGGGAAGTGGGGACTGAGAACACATGGAGTCTGTTGCATCTGGTTAACACATGCTTCAAGGCAGCTAACTATAGTTCAAAGAGCTGGTAATGGCAGCCAATAACCCTTTCCAGCACTGGAGCCACAGCTCTGCCTGTTGCAGTACAAAATATGGATGCAGTAAGCAGTTCATCTCTCAGACAGGGGAAGAAGTACAAATGGTGGATCTTGAAGAGGAAAAGGAGGGCAAAGAAGCACACTGGTAGTCCCTGGTATGAAGAAGAGGAATAGGGAACCCTAGAAGAGGAGAGAATATAACTTTATGCAGCTTTTATGCTTGGATTTTGAAAGAGGAGAACAAGGAGCAGAACTGTGAAAGGAGGCTGTCTAGAATACAGCAGGGGGAAGGACAGCGTGCAGGGACCTTGCAGACAGCAAAGGAGAAAGTCAAAGGCTCCTTGTGGTGCCAGGACCTTCTGCTACTCTACTGACAAAGTATGACCCTAAGCTTATTACTTGTTCTGAGACCTCGTCCTATTCTGTCTTCTAACGATGTACGCTCTTAAGACTATTTTGATGGGGAGGGAGGAGGTATTTTTCAGAAGAAGCTTCCTTTAATGACAATAACTTGTGTCCAAATCTAGCAATCCGAGTGCATGGTTGTGTGCCAGGACATCAGCTAGCTCTCGTTTCTCACGTACTCTCGTGCTATATGACAGACAGTGTCATCTGCTGAAAAGGATTACTGCAAAATGTGTCTTGCAGTGAGGGGTCTTGTGTTTACTTGTGGGGAGAAAGCAGTCTGTAGTTGGTAAGCTTGCCTTCTTTGCAGGAGCAAAACCATTTTTGTGGTGGCTTCATCTGGGGATAGAAAGTAAATTTCTGGATGCCACTGGGAACTCCCAAGTTTTCACCTTACACCTTTGTTTCTCATACTCTAGTGGAGAGGCAAGAAAGTCTAGAAGCTTTCTTAGGCCCAGCCTGCTTAAAATAACAGTTTAAAAAAATAAGATTAAAAATAATTTTAAACACAATGTTTTAAAGACAATTCAAAAACAGTTGAAGATTTTGGATAATTCTGTTTGTTAGGAGTCCAAGTCAAGACCTTACAAAGGGAGCCAGTTTTTCAAGGAGGGATGCTCAGCCTTTTCAGGAAACCATGCCCTTTTAAACTGTCATCTCAGTTACTCAGACTATGTTTGGTCCTTTGTAAGGGTATGTGGAACCATCAGAGTGAATGAAGTTGCAGTCACTTGTGCGCAATACAGATTTTACTTGATGAGCAGGAACGTTGCAACCACCTTTTTTCCCTGCAAAATTAACTGGATGTTCTTGTGGTTATTTTTTCTTCCCCAAACTCATAAACAGAGGTGGTTCTACACATTCCCTTCTAGTGAATAATTTCCCCCTTATTAAACAAACTAAAGAATGTTGTAACTGCTTAATAGTAAGAAAACTTGTCTCCGGTACGTGGAGGTTGTTGAATGACTTCCTGCCTTCACCTTAAATAGAGGGGCAAAAGGCAGGTGACAATACTTCTTTCAACCCATGCTGTTGATTGCATCATTGAGGAGGAGACACTGGTGCCAGAGTCAGCCATTTCTCTGAAGTGGCCTTTTTTAGCCCCACATCCTAACTCTTTTGACACAGAAAGGTGAAAATTTAGCAGTTGTATCACTATGCATCAACTCTTTCAGGCCTTTATTGTGACACGAAAGCCTTGTTTCTCATCTCTCAAGGAGTGTTTCAGATTCCTCCATGAACCACTAACCCATCAGGAAGAAAGGATACAGTTCCCTCCTGGTCTGTTTTGTTGAATTTGTGCATGGAAGGATCCACTAAGCACCCAAAGCTGATGCAAAGGAGGCGGTGGGACATGTAGCCTGGATGATGGAAGCTGGGGTGGGAGGAGCTGGGTCATAGCAGGAAGGAACAGGGGATGAGAGCAGTGGTAACGTGAAATTGCTTTAGCTGCTTGTGCAATTGCAGCCTAGCGGCTTAGGACTTCACAGCCTTGCTGTAGTTTTCACTGGCTGTTCTAGAGCTTCCCTCTCTCCTCTGCGTATAGCTTCTGCTTGTTTCTGTCCTCGTGCTTACCTCTGCTAAGGCAAAATCTACATGTATGCATCAACACAGACTTTAGGATATTAGGAAAGATCCTGTGATAAGATAGGAAAGATCCTGCATTCACACACACACCATTGCTTAATGCAGTGGTTGATCCTATTATTTTGCAAAAATAATGAAAGATTTTGGAGGTTTCTATTTGCATTGCCTAGATCTTTTCAAATGAATTTGTAATTCTTGTAATTAGTGTTGTCTTCTTTCAGAAAAGTGAGCTGCTTGAGCTAAAATCATGTTTCCTTTTCATAGTTTTGGGTTAAAAGGCTAAACAGGGTGTTTTGTTGAGTTTTACTACCTAGTGCCTTTTTGTTTACGGGTGACACTTAAAGGTAACACTTCCTATCTGCTGAAGATTAGTACAAGATTTATGCCAATCTTAAAGCACGGACATACTGTTTAAATGAAGTTAATTGGCATGTAGGTCTGTTGTTGATCTGCAGCTTGAATGTAACCCTCAGCCTTGACTCTTTAAGCAATGTAGAAGTTATGTGAGACTAGAATAATTCGGAGCTACGAGGAAGAAAGATCTTTGAATACTAAACTTATTTCAATGTGATCGCATGCCTAGCCATTTTGACCTGGAGTATATGTTGACAAAGCATGGGTTGAAAGCCTTTCTACACCTTTTTGCTCCTTTGTCATCTGGTTTATTGCATGAGAGTACACATATATCTCTGCTTATCTTTACAGAAAGTTTTGACAGGGGTGGATGATCTGCAGCGAGTGAAGGCCCTAGAGATGCGAGTAGATACAAGAGAGAACAGCTTGGGAAACTTTGGTAAGAAAACACTTTATCTTCTGCTCACCATCTCAAATTTTTCTTTATCGTGTCTTGAAGCAGGACTGGGGACTCAGAAACCAACAGCCAGTGTAAAGTACTGTCCTGCTCAAGAGCTCTTGAAATATGATCTCCCTGGTACCTCTCACTCCTTGATCTCTGTTTTCTTCTGTGAGGCTCTAAATAGGAATGAAAACTATGGCAATGGGATGAGAGACACCACTTCTGTCTAAAGCCAATTAGTTTGAACAAATTCCTCTTGAATGACATGCCTCTAGGCCCTAAATGGCCATTTACTGATTACCTTGCCCTCTAGAGTGCTTGACGCTCCTCTAGTGAAACAGTAGCCAAAGTTCAGTTTCTCTCCACTGTAAGATTCCCCTGTGGCTGAGAAATCACTGGTGGTATCAGGCTGCTCATTTTGCTAGCAGCCTGTCTTTGCATCCTGTACTGCCTCATCGAGCTGTGCTGGATGATGTTCTTGAGGAAGGTTCTATAGATACGTCATTTTGATGAGCCCCAAACAGACCTTTTTCTGTCATGTGGATTCCCATCACAACCAAGTCCATCTTCTGCTACGTTGAAGCAGAGTAACTACTGCAGGGTAATATTCTCTGTGCCAAAAGGAGTCACGTCCCCAAAAGTGGGTGCTGGTATTTTCAGCCAAGCAGTTCATTTTCATGTGCAAGTGACTATAATGTAACAGCTGATTAGCTTTAGTGGGTCTTTTGATGTCTATTTGTCAAGAGTGGTTAAGCAAGTACAGTGAAGGGGGCTTTTGTCTTGAATTTTATAGCCACTTTGTATTGGTTATTCTGTTTATTTCATAAATAGGTCTCTTTCTGATAGGGACTTGGTAATTTAAGGTAAATTACATCCGTTTCTTTCAGAGATTATAATCTATTCAGTCATGTTTCCTCCAGTTGATAAGAAAATCTCATTTTTCCATTTCTACAATGCTCAAAAGTGGTGCTCCCATTCCTATGCCATTTCACATTAGCTGTGACAAGCTAGCAAAATGTTTCACCTTTTTCACTCTGTACTTCCCTTTCCTTTCCATTACTGGATTAAATCCCTTTCTTTCTGCTCCCTGTGGTTAGGCTTTTGCAACTTTTACAAAATACAGAGCACTTATTCCCATGTTGCAAACAGTTTCCATCTTGTTTGTGTCCCACCGTTTGTACCAAAAGTTGGCCCTTGAGGGCTATAAAAACTAGCAGCTGCAGGTCCCGACTGCTTTTGAGAATAACAGAACATCAAGACCATCCTGAATTTCCTTCTTTTTCTTTAAAGTGCATTTCTGAATATCCTCCCTGTGAAAATCTCTTTGTGAATGTCAGCAGGTGGCTAGGGCAGAAAGTTTGCCACTTAATGCTTCCAGTGATTGTCAGTTCCTTGCCCTTTTTTTTTCACATAGAATCATAGAATCATTAAGGTTGGAAAAGACCTCTAAGATCATCGAGTCCAACCATCAACCCAACACCACCATGCCCACTAAACCATGTCCCTAAGCGCCTCATCTACCCGTTTTTTAAATCCCTCCAGGGATGGTGACTCAACC